TGCCTCGGGCCTGCGCGGGGCGGCCGCTCCCTGCCCTGCCCTGCCCTCCCCTTCCCTCGCAGCCGGCCGGACACTCGCCGCGGCCCCGCCGAGCCTGTCGCTGAAGGAGTCTCCCGTAGCCGGCTGCTGCCCTCTAGCCCCATCGTCTCATGCAGCCTCTCGTCCTTCAGCGCTCGGCCCTTCCCCTTGCCCGTGCCAGCCTCCCTCTGGTTAGCTGGCGGTTATCTGGTGTCTGATGACCAGAACTGACCGGCTGTACTGGCGAGGGAGCCGTCCCCTCTTGGGGGCAATGTGGGAGTTGCCTTGTGTGAATGCAGCCAGTGTGGAGGCCTCTGTGAAGCCGGGTTTTGGGGTCCCTGCTCTTTGGATCGGCTCAAGCCAGCGCCTGCCTTACGTGTGCCGTCCTGCCCCTTGATCTTTCCAGCTGCTGCTCTGACGACTGTGTGTTTATTGCTGGATGCTTTAAGGTTCAGCGCGTGACTTTTCCCATACTCCCTGGCATGACTTTACCTCACATTCTCTGGTACGAGTAGTATTTTGTCATCTGTTCTGTCTGAGCTGTTACCTAACTCCCCTTCCTAACTGCTTCATGTCCAGGGCACTAGGGAGTTCTCTGTCCCAACTGGACCTTTCTTCACCACCTTTCCTTAGGCACTGATCACTTCTGCTGCACAGAACGGCATGAGCGTAGCAGCCTCAAGAGAACAAGACTCATTAAGAAGAGAAATCTGCTTGAAAGTAGGCTTCTTTAAAAGTCGCAGTAGGCTTTAGGGCCACAACATCTTGCTATTGAAATCTTGCCCTAAGATGGTAAAGAGCTTTGTATTGTGTCCAGTTCCGTTTCCCAAAGCACGGAAACTCTACGAAGACGGGGACTTGGGAAGCCTGGTTCAGTTCCTAGCTTAGCTGCTACTTCTCAGATTGACTTGCCCCCAGTCTGTCTCGTGTCCTGACTTCTTACCTGTTAAACAGCTGAAACTTCCCTACCTCACTAAGTTGCTGAAGGTAAAATCGATTAATCACTGAGGTACTCAGACGTGATGATATCGATGTAAGTAAAGGAAATTAAGGTGGTTGAGTGTTTTAGCCTTAATTACAGTTACAGGAAATACCTCCCCTTAGCTTGTTCTTTTTTCCAGCATCCTATTTTTTGTCAGTGCCCTGCTAGAGTCACGTGCTTGACCTTGTGTCTACCCAGCCTTCACAGAGGCTCTGTGTTGGTCGTGAACAGCCAGGTACCATCAGCATCCCAGGAAATTCAGTTGGGCGTGCCTTTGTGATGGGTGAGGGGAAAAAGTGGATTAGTTTGTATTCTTTATACAGTGTTCATAGCCGCTTACCTGCTAACATTTCCTCTGGTTAGCCTAGGCATGTTTGACAATGTCCTTGTTTAAGGCCTATCTTTTTATATCCAACTTGGGTCTTACCAGAATCTTGACTCAAGGTGACAAAATCTGGGTTCTGGTCAGACTTGGTAAACCTTCCAAATGAACTTGAGCATTTATGCTGTGGCTTGACAAGCTGTCTTCTCTGGAATTGCTGGGAGACCATTCACATGGTGCAATTTGCTATACCAAATAACATATTATGGCTTATTTGCCTCCGGTACTCTTAGTGCAAGGTTTCCTAAGTGGTATAAATAATAGAATAAGGAACCGGCCCAACCTGCAGTGCTGTAGGAGCTGAGCACCTCATAATCGTACCTCTCGTTTGTGCAAGACTTTATCCTCACTTTCTCAGACGCTGAGGCTAGGTGACTTGCCTGAGCTCACACAAGGCATCTGTAGCCAGGACTTCAACCCATGTCATTCACATCCTTGGGAACGACCTTAACCATCAGACCATCCTTTTGAAACTAGTATCTCATCCGTGCTGGGGTTGCTGCATAAAGTACGTAGTCACTGTGCTTCTGGCTTGGACTCCCCAGAACAAAGTGTGGTGAACCTTGCCATAGATGGGATGTTTCTAGTCCATGTCACATTATGCAGGGCTAATTTGAGAGCTGTTGTAAGTGGGCACAACTCCCTCAAAGTCAGTGCAACTGTCCTTTATATTGGGCCTCACTTGTCCCACAGCTGCTGTGACAGTGAGCCACCAAGGGGCCAGTGATTAGACATGGCTGATGTCTTTAGTGAGCTTCAGCCTTGGGCATCTCTCAGCTCAGGGTACAGCATGGGGCCACACCACACATTATTAGCAATAGGCCCTGGAATGCCAACATGCAACTCCCCTATGAATGTATTAATGTTTTCTCTCACAGCCAGTGCCTTGGCTTAATTACTGGTTATCTTTGTCAGTGTTTCCTAACTGCCTTGCAGCCGATGTGTCTGCTTGAATTACCTCAGCTGAAAGGACTTGTCCTGTTCCTGCTTACACTTATATTGCATCACACATGGGCCAGTACTTCTGAGAAGCTAATCTCTGGGTACTGCATCCAAAATTTCTTAGATTTTACTGTTATATGGAACCTGTGAACATATCTCCAATGGAGAAGCTGGGCAGTTTCTAGGCATTAGTTGCAGGGGATTTTCCAGCACCATTTACTTCAGTTATTTCTCATGCTTGGCACAGTCCCATTGCTACAGCATGTGGGGGAGGGGGAAGGAAGAATGCTTTTCAGAGAAATGACATCCCTGCAGTTCATCAGGGATTTTCACTTGATGACTATGTGGCTTGGCTCTAGCTGGGAATGAAGTGGGCAGATGCCCCTGCAAAGTTCCCCATGTTGTTACAGCTGTGACTGAAGTCTGAGCACAAACTAGTTTCCAAAATGGTCTAGCACCCTTCTGTCTGAAAGGGGCAGATCCATCAGATACAGGTGTGAAGTGAGCAAGCTCATGTCACCAGTGACTAAGTCATGCTAGATCCAGGTCACTGTACAGGTGTCTGAGGCCTTTTGGATCTGCTTTGTGAATGCACATCTCCATGTTGTGGCCCCTCTTTTACATTTCTCTTATTCTTCCATAGGGAATCTTCAGACTCTCTTCTGTCTGAAGTGACTGCTGCTGTAACAAATACTTGTAGCCTATCCTGGGGACAAATCAGCCCAATCCCTGACGTGCTGGAAGAGTAGCTAGCTACTATCTGTGCTGATTTGAGAATTTTCCCTCCCTTAATCTCCAGACATTTAACCGACAGAGGGCAAATGAGCAGGCCCAGATGCACCTAGCCCAACCTGGGGCAGGAGGCACTCAGGAGAAGTCCTTAAACACAGCATAGCCTCTTGTATTATACATAAAATCACATGCATTTGGCTTGCTTCTCTGGCAGTAGGGAAGCTAAACTGATGGTGCTGATACATAGGCGGGGTGCATGTGCAGTGTGGGGAGTCCTTGAGACTCTTAGCCTTGCTTTAAAAGGGTTAAGTGGGATATACCAGAGTTGCTTTGTGAAGGGCTTGGGGAAACCAGCAGTGATGTAAAACTGTTCCTGTTTATTGGAACATAAGAACATAGCATTATTGCTTGAAATGACCTGATTTCAAGACAGAGTTCTCCTTTTTCTCTTGATTCAGCTTGGCAAAGACTAGATTGGGACTTTTTTCCTGCATCTTCCAGTTTCTTCAGCAAGTAATAGGGGAGAGAATATACATTTCGGGAAGCCGTTTGTTTCACATCTTCAGCTACTCTTGCTGTTCTCTCAACTGAGGTACTTACACAAATTGAAAGGCAGAAAATGTTGAAGAAAACACATTCTGTCTTCCAGCAGTGTGGAACATGTGGAGCCTTTGTCCTACAGCAGGCATAGAGCTTAGGAAGAGCAAACCAAGCAGTGCACTTGGGAGACCTAGGTTCTGTCCCTGCTTTGCCTTTGAAAGTCACTTACTTCTTCCCTATCCTTTCTCTTCTTCACATAAAATGTAAGCTTTTCACAGCATTTGCATGGCAGGGAAAGAAACTCTCTCCTAAATGCAAAATATAGTAAGAATGGTATCTGCAGTTATACAAGGCAGAGTACTATTGCAAAGGTGTGCAGGGCAGCTTGTGATCACCAGCTGAGAGAAGAAAGACTTTTCCCTACCCTACCACATCAGTCAATGACCTACTGCACCAGCTGATGTTACAGCACAAATCTGTCTCCATCTTCCAGCACTGGCTACCATCCTGAACTGGGGTCTGGAAGAGTCTTATGCTTCTGAGCTGTGGGCTGCCTTCCACGTCAGTAGCTTCCTCTCTGTTGTTTCCCAATTGCTTGAGTTTCCTGTAAGACTGATCAAACTGCTGAGTCAGCTTCTCTTTGTGGCTTTGTTGTTTGAGGCTGCAGAAGCCCCAGTAGCTATGTAGGCTTCAAGCCACTTTCAGGGTAGCAGCCACTGTAGGCATCTCCTGGAATTGGAGTTTTCTGCTTAATTAAATTGCTACTTTGGCCTCAGGAGGAATGCCTTGTCAAAAAGGGCCTGTCTATTCCAGCAGAGAGCGTGCTGAACAGCAGAATGGCACTGTACTGCCAGCGTGTATGGTTGAATTCTGTTTCAGGACAGTATTTCACATTGAGGATCATGGTGACAGTGATTGATTGCACTTGCTACATATCCAGGGATGTGAGTTCTTGGTCTGGATTCTCGTTAAAGGCTGTCCCGAGTTGATCCAGGCTAGGGAGTCAAAGGTGGCTGAATATAATGCCAGCTACATTGCTCACTTGTGGCTATAGAAATTAGTGTGTCTTGGCCATGCTAGCCCTATGAGCTGCTAGCCTTTGTTTTTCAATACTGCATTAGTGGGTAGAAGCTGGGATTGAATCTGTTTACAACTGTCCCCAGAGGCTGCTTCAAGTGAAGGAAGCAAATGGAGGCAGACAAACACCAATTTTCCCAGGAGATTCCATCAAAAGGTGCTTGGCAGATGAGCCATTCCGCCACCTCCTGTGATGGGGCATCAGGTTATTCCCAGCTGCAGAGGAGCAAACTAGTACAAGTGTAGCTATTGCCACAAGTTGCTAACTGAGCTCAGAAAAGTGTTCAAAAGTGACTCCTCTTCCTCTGCTGTAGGTACTATTCCATTGTACTTGCATCTAATGTCCATTCTGTATAACAAAAGCAGGGTCTACAAGCTGGGTCTCAGAGGCTTAACACAGACCTTATCTCTGTTGCCAGGATAACCACAAGCTGTACAAACAGAAGCTTGAGGAACTGATCGGGCTTCAGGATGGGATCTCCAGTTCCATTGCACGGCAAAAGAAGCAGCTGAAGGAGCTTTCTCTTGCCCTCAAAAAGTAAGTAGCTGTGTAATAACCATGCAGATCCCTGCTCAGAGGCAGCAAGGGAGACTAGGCAGCTGGCTGTTGTGCCTTGGGCTTCCAACAGAAACCAAGAGAGGGGTGGAGAGGGGATGTCATGGAGAGGTGAATCATAGAGGAGCACGGGCTATGGAGATATGGCTTCTCTCATTCCTTGTTCAGCAGCCTCTTCCTTGCCTACCTACATTAATACAGTCTTTGCCACTTAAAAACATCCACAGCTAGTACAAGCAGCCATTTGTATTGCACATACAGGGTGAGCCACTTGCCAACCCTGAAGATCTTGGCAATTAAAGGCATTGCTTAAGCCAGTGGTTTTGAGTCTTTTTAGCCTCGAGGCCTCTCTGCATAACTTTTCTGACTTTTATGGTATCCACTGAAAATCAATGAGCTAGAACTTAAATTCAGAAAGGGTATGGGGTGGTGCCTTGATGCTAAAAAAAGGTTAAGAACCAGTGCTCTAGTGGTGCCAGATGAAGGCAGTAGGGGCAGGATCTAATCCTGTCCTTTCCACTGTCTGCCTCTTCTCCACCCTTGGCATCGAAGGGAGCAAGGGTAGCTCCCCACTGGCAAGGCTGCTCCTACAGGGTCTCAAATGCTGGCAACTGCCTCTGAAGTTCCTCTCATCGGTACTGGAAGTATGGGAGGAGTTGAGCTGCAAAACGTGGCACTGGCCCCCATATCCACCTGCCTACCCACAGCAGAGCATACTGCTGGGAGCATGGAGGCAGTTAGTGCAGGGGAAGATGAGGAAGGGCAGCAGTTCTCAGAGGAGCAGCCACAGGCACCCCTGAGTAGCTAGGGCCAGGCACAGAGCATCAGACTGGGGGAGGAGACTATTTATCTCCTCTTGCAGAGACCAGGTAGCACAGCACCCCTACTGGGATCTCATGGGACTCATGAGAATCACTGGCTTGGGCCATGTTAAGCATACCGGCTATTTTATGCAGGCTTGGGTGTTGTCATCAGCTTTGCTGCTAAAACCAGGCCTAGTTTACAGTCCACTTCATTCAGTGGGCACACAACCCCTATCCTTGTCTGCCTGCTGTAAACAGTGGGGACTGTTTCCATGTCCCATGGTGATTTCCTAGTACCTGTTAAGTGCTAGGAAGGCAAATGCGATTTGGCATTTCCCACCCGTTTGTTGCTACTTTTCATCTGAGCTTTCTTAAAGACAGCCAGGTCTCCCCAGAGTCCTTGGACCAAGGCCACCCTAGTACTTAACTCATGAACATCACTCAGGGTTTTGAAAGCAGGTGGCTGCTTGCTTGTGCTGGCTTCCACCTCATTTGTTCTTCTCCCTGATATTCAGGAACTGACCTGTAGACTGAGTCCTGGACTTTAAAGTTCTGTGTTAATCTCTGTAGCTTCTTGCCCTTGCTTTGTCCTTCTTTCATACAAATTGAAACATCTAGTGCCAGCACCTCTGTCATGTTAGTGCCCTCTGTCAGTCCATGTCATGTTCCTGTTTGCAGATGCAAGCCCTCTATATCTGCAGAGGAGGAGGAGTCCATCCAAGAGATCCAGAACTTGATCAAGGAGAGGCAAAATGTTTTCTTTGAAATGGAAGCGTATTTGCCAAAGAAGAATGGGTAAGACACTGTCTTGGGGGTTTCTTAGTGGAAAGGAACAAAGCTTTTGGTTTCTGTGTAGTTTCTAGAGATCACTGAGGTTATCGGGGAAGAAACTACATTAATCTTGGTGGGTTTCACACTTGGAGAAAACTAATGAAAAGCTCAGTTTGCAGTCAACCCTAGTTACTTTCTCACTGCTTATTTAGGAATCCTGCTAAACCAGATCCCAAGCCATGTTTCAGCTTAGGCCTGGGAAGAAAACAGACCTACCATCCAGAGACCACTTAGACCACAGGCTTTCCTATCATGTTATGTGCTACCCCTTGGGGGGAACCCATATGATTTCCTGCTTCTGAATCATTCCCATAGGAGAGGAAGTGGTGTTTGGGAGAAGAGGGCCCCTTTAGACATTCAGTGAATCTTCCCCTCCCCAGTTGCTGTAACATTATCAGAAGTCTGCCAGTGTCCCTAGTTCCTGAAAGCATTGGTGATGAGAGGAAGAACTGTTATAACCACCCTAGTGCTGAGATTAAGCTGGCAGCTCCCTGCATGTGCTGCGGTCTGGTCTAACTCCTCTCTCCTCTTCTGATCTAGGTTATACCTGAGTCTGGTGCTTGGAAATGTGAATGTCACACTGCTCAGCAAGCAGGCTAAGTAATGCCTCTCTGCTATCTTTGTATCTATCTCTGTGTTTAAGGGTGGTGGAATTACCCTTCTGAGGGAAAGCTTTTCTTCTGGCGGGGCTCAGGCTTTGCTCTTCTCTTGGCTAGGTGGCAGCAAGACATCCTGAGTTGAGCTGCAGTGCTGAGCATTGAACAGCAGTTTTTTTCTTCCTGCAACGTCTGCAGAGACCTTTCCCAGCTGACTGATTCCAATCAGTCTTAGACACCCAACCTTCTTTTGCCTGTGCTTACAAATGTACCACCTCTGCCCGAGCTCTTCAGCTCTAACAAGCCAGGCAAGGTCAAGTCTTAATGGGCAACCAAGTCCTCCAGAAGAATAGCAGGCTGCTTCTGTGACTAATTCAGTAGCCAGCACTCCTTTGAGGGAACATTGTTATGAAAGGTGGAAAATCCAGGGGCACAGTGTTGTCTAAGAAGCTGCTCCAAAACATGCTCAATAAAAAGAACAAGGAGTTCTCCTTTCTTTAGTAGCTTGGGCCTTGCGTTGCCCAACTATCAGGATCAGTTCAGGGCTGTACAGCTTCAGGGGTACTTGTTTCTAACAGTGAGAGATTGCCCTTGGCAGTTGAATGTTGTCCATTGCCTTTGCCTGTTCTCAGTACGCTGTAATGATCTTCAAGCCAAGGGGTTGGGATTCACAAGGGTTGATGTTCAGAGGGACCCAGGGTACCTTCATTCAAAGTTAGTAAACACTCTGGTGTGTGTGTGTGTGTGGAAAGCCCAGGTGTCATTATCAGGGCCTTGGGATATCAGTGCAATTTGCTTTTTCTGCCAGATGTGAGGTGCTCCCCTATGGTGGCAGGAGCTGTGCCCTGCTCTGGGTTGCACTTAATCTAAGTGGAATTTCTGAGGAGCGGCAAAGGCAAGGATTTCCTTATGTTGCTTCCTTAAATATATACCCCATATGATTTTCTTCTGATGGGGCTCAGGCTCACTGATTTGGTGACCCACCAATTCTGGGCAAAGAGTGCTAGATTGCAAAGCTCCTTCCTGCCAGACAGTGTCCACAACCTTTCTCTGTACCTCCCTGCAGGTTTGCTTATAAAGATGAGTATGAGAAGTTCAAGCTCTACCTCACCATCATCCTGCTCATCGTGTCCTTCTCCTGCAGGTTCCTCCTCAACTCCAGGTGAGTTAGCAAGCAGCAAGGCTTAGGAGCTCCCCACACCATGCTGGTGGCCTCAAAATATAGGCAGCTTCAAGGGCTTTCTTTCTTATAGAAGAAAGGGGCTACATATGGGAGCCTTCTATAATTGATTGGGTTGTACCAGCACATACACAACTTGCAGCTGTGGGGCTATTGTAGCTAATGTGAGGCAGAGTGAGGCCACTTGGAATGACCCCCACCTGGCCTGGGAATCCAGATAGAGCAAAGCTCCCATGCAAGTTGCCATTAGGGCAACCATTAGGGGTTTTCCTGGTGTTTGTTCTGCAAGAAGCAAAGCTCAAAAGCATAAGGAATACAGCATAAGGAAAATGGTTCACAGGGTCCAGCTCTGGACTGATTATGGCCTTGGCAGGTGGCTTATGGTCTGTGCCTTGATAACTAAGACCTTGCAAACAGCTGGTGAAACTTCAGTGCATTCATGTTTCCCTGATGCTACTGTCCTTGGTCCCAAGGATGAAAGCCACTTGGGATTTGGTAGTGTGGGTTTCCACCCACTGCTGAGTGAATGGGCCCAGAGCTGGGGCATCCGTTATCACTGCAGACTTTGAAATGTCATGAGAGACCTGTAGAGAGGATGCAGTTGATAGATTTCTTAGTTTCTATGCAGCATATACCTGTGCTTTAGTCCAGGGCCATGTGGTGTGCTTCAAGCTGTTTGCAAAAAGCTTGCTCTTCTGTGATCAAGCTATGTTGCTTTGGTAGGGAGATGCTACTCTTGCATTCTTTGCACTTGCTCCTACTAGGAAGACAGCCCATGTCCATCTTTGCCCTTCTGAGTTGTGTCTACCACATTCTTTGACCCATGATTCTCAATCAGGGTGCCACAGCCCTGTGGGGCGCTTTGAGGTCCTTTCTAAGATGTCTCAGGGTATGAAGCAATATTAGCACTGCCAGGTATAAAAACATGATTCAGAAGATCAACCCAGAGACTTCAAATAGAAATCTTTTAGTGTTAAAACAATTTTGATACATTGTGGGGTTTCGGGGTTCTTTGTAATAGCAGACTTGCTCTATTACTTTTCTGCACTCAAAAATGAGTGAAAGCTAAGCAGGCTTTTTCCAGATGGGACCTTAAGTCTATCTTTAATCTGAAAATGTTGAGAACCACTGCCCTACACACTAGCATAGGTGCTGTACCAGCAGTGGGATCGCACTAGAGAACCCTGTATTTGGTCTGTAGGGAA